CCAGATGAAGGATACCTTTTACAGCAATTATTTCGATGCGCAGATACAGCACTTGAAGATAAAAGAGATTGGCAGCGGTGGGATTCGAACCCACGCCTCCTACGAGACTGGTGCCTAAAACCAGCGCCTTAGACCACTCGGCCACGCTACCAGATGTATGTTAACTTTTACAGCAATTATTTGGATGAGCAGAAATAGGATTTTAAGATAAAATGAATGTCAACGATCAGAATCGAACTCCTTCCCCTTACGAGACTTGTGCCTACAACCAGCCCCTTAGACCGCTTGGCCACGCTACCAGATAGAATTAAAGTTATCAGATATATATTAACCTTTGCAGGCAGTAGATTACGTGAACAGAAACATTATATCAAGTTAGCTAGACTGAATGGAAGTTCTATATATTTTTGTTTACCATAAAGTCATGTATATATGCATTGTACGACCTGCTGTGTCTTATAACTGAAGGCGTCAGTTGGTCTACGCTTTATTTAACACCTTTAGAGTTTGTCTGGTTATCACATAGACTGCTGTCCTCCTGTGTCAAACACTCATCTTGTTATAAATGAGGTGTTGAAAGGGTGTAAAATAATTTGTCTGTCTGACGAGTCTATAAGACGCCCGAAATTGTAAAATGGTGTAATTCATAAAAAAGATACATGTTTTGGAACATGTGCTCTTTGAGAATAAAAACAAAAACACTGGCTTATGATATATATAGGCAAAGTTACCGCTAAGTAGAAAAATACGGATTGGAGATACTTTTGATGATTGAGGCGGTTTATGATCATTTTGTACAAGATGTACGAGACACGATTATGAAGGTGAATCAGTTATACTATTTGAATTCCAAAATTTGTTGAAAGTGAATTAAGTTGGCAGTTCATGTAACACATTCCCAAAACGTCGTATATCGAGCATCGTCCAACATTTGCTATCCGAGTTGACGATAATGGATGTGATAATTTTCTGAGAAGAAAATAAATTGTTAACTATCAAAACTGGCTAGTACCGTTTTCATGTTAATGATTTTCAAACCTATAGTGAGCTGCATCAACACGGCCACCTTTTTCAGTAGCTTTATGGTGATGTAACACTAAGCATGCTTCTTGCAACTTTGCAGTTTTGTTGCGCCGAGAAAGTTCAATGAGAAACTGATTGCCTAAATGTATTCACTTAAAATATGTGTTTCATAACAATGTGTTGCAGCCTTGCAGCAATCGATGCGAGGGTAGAATCGCTTTCTACTTTTTGCACCTATTCCAACAACAACTAATTTGGAGAAAACGTCTATTGTATCAAGAACTCCTCTCACAATCTTTTTGAAGCGTCGCCACGATTATCGTTGCCAGAACAATAGAATCGAGTCATGCATTTAACGAAGAATGCGGCAGCACTGAACGGAACTTTGAGGCATTGTTTAATGTAACCGTTGGAATAAAACAATGAAACTTTTTTTTAAAATGAAAGGAATAAAGTGAGCATCACCAAACATGGCCACCCTATCATGGTCTATCATTCCTTTGCGGACGATAACAAAAACCCATAAGACGTAGCAAAGATTAAATCCTCCGAGAATAATTACTTTAGTGTGATAATCAGGCCGTATATGACTCTTGTCGTGTGTGCACACTTCATTCATCTCAGTCACGACAAGAGACATTGAGTCTGGAGCGGATTAAACAAATTATGTTGTTAGTTGAACGAGTTTAAAGATTCCAAAGGAGTATTATAATAATAAGATTAAAGTATTAGTTAACTACGAATGAACATGCGTTTTTCATAAGGAGAAAAACCTATTGAGTGATTGTCGATGAGAGGGATTAAAACTGGTTCCTCGTTTCACTGACCACCGTGCAAAATGTGTCGGGATATGCTGTGTATGCACGATGACGTTCATGACTGAACACAGCACCAGAACTGTACACAGCACCTTTCGCATGGGTCTTTAAATGCTTGACTTCCACGTACCATTCACATTCAAGAATCCCCGACTTCATCTAAGTCAGGGCATGCACGGCTAGCTCACAGATCAATACCCTGAAACGAAACTCTAGGCTGATCAAACTGAGCGGCTTGACTAACTCACAGAAACTTTACTTTGGCTTGTCTGGTTTTGCAAAGGGTGGAAAGCAGGAGAATCATTTTAAAAAACGTAGACAAGTTGTTCGTTTAGTTCTCCTTCGTATTATCATTTGTTTTCGTTTGGTATTCAGTTTTCTTACCCCAAAAAAGGATTGGTTTTGATTGTTAGATGATTACAGAGTATCAGGAAGAACAAAAATTGTGAACCTTGCAAAAAAATCAAATGAATAAAACGACATTATTTGGACGACGATAACCAATTTACGCACTGGCCTACGTCTGAACCCGAGGAGCTAGAATATTGATAACAGTCCAACTGTACACCAAAATTATGCTTTATTATAAGGAATCAAATTAAATAGGTTTTAGCGCAGGGAGGGGGATGAGTAAACTGAATTTTTGGCCTCGCTGTATATAACCGCAAGCACTGAACTATTTTCCTTGCAATTGGATGATTCACTTGCATATATTGAGAAACCTTTCACTGTTCTACGACTTTTTTTACCATGCATGTGCTTTAAGTCAGTAATGTACACTGTAAGGTGTACGTGTCTTAAGTCAGTACCGTACGTTTCCCGATCATACCAAATCGCTCTACGGTATGTCGTACGGTGAACATGCTGTAAGCCAGTACCTTATGTGTCCCATTCATACCGCAAACCAAAACCACTATAAACCAAAGCTTTGTTCTAACGGTCAATCCAAGAGGAAATCCTACAAACCTCCAAATGACCCTGTTTATGAAACTCTAAACGATTCCTGTTAACATACTTTAATAGATGGACATTAAAGACCACTTTAACGACAGATCCAGATTTAACGATAGAATACAGCTTATTTTAACATCTTGTTTGAGTGAGATAAACGCATTTTAACTAATACCGCCTCCCGGTTGGCTCAGTTGGTTGGGCATCGGTCTGTACCTTTAAATGAATAAACCTTCGCCGCACTTGTGGCTGAAAGACCAAGTAACTTGGCGGTCCCATCTCATTCAGAGACTTAAAACATAGATGGATACAAGTTTATCAGTGCACGTGCTAAGTTGGCAAACTGTCAACCCTATCTAAATATTTATTATTTATTATTATAGATCATACCCAAAAGTTTATTACTAAAGCTACGTGGTACATTTTTCTCAACGAAGACGCCAACATTGATTTATGACCTGTCATACAATCATTTCGTAGCTCAAAATAAATTTTAGTTTCTTTTAAAACGTCTGCACTAAATTTTTATTATTTTTTCCTAGAAAATATGACTGCAGCTTCGTTGAGCAGATCCCTCTGTATCTATTTATATGTAAGTACCATTTCCTAGACGCACATTCTTTTCTCCTCATCTTAATATCACCAACTAATGTCTTAAGCAGATAAACGTTAATTCGAGTCCATTCTTTGAGAAGTAATTTTTCATTTTTCGTAATCGCCTGTCACCGAGTTTCCGAAGTGACTCCGCAGTTGAATTCCGAAAAACGCTTCAACCCCAGAGATAACACACTGCATTAGTGCCAAAACAGTCGAGGGATAGCTTATAACTTTAAAACATTCAACACTTAAAACTAAAGACTTATTTGCAATAAACAACAGGAAAAAAGAAGTGCCTTCAAAACTTATTCATACTGCAAGATTGTATTATTGTATGTTGCATGATTTGAGCTTTGAGCAGGGCGTCGGCAAGTAAGAGGATTACTTATTTGCGTTTAACTTCCATATTTTATTTGATATGATCCGATTTTCTGGTATTTTAACATGATCTTTATTCTTCGCGTTCTCATTCGGTAATACTTTAATTTGTCGGATTATCTAATTGATACGATTTACGTTTATACCTTTATGATACCTTACGGTTTAACATATCGCTTGATGGCTAGTAGTCCTGGGCCTGGTTGTACGAAGGGTGGATAGCGCTATCCGGCGGATAAATCTTTATCCAGTGGATAGATAAGTCGATGCTGTTATCCAATAAATATATCCACTGGATGAGGCCTATCCGTCGGATAGCGCTATCCAGGCTTCGTACAACCGGGCCCTGGAAAGTTCCACTTTTTTCATTCCATCATACCATTATTTTGCTAATCTACCTCGCGTGAAATCCAAAATTGCATGAAGTGAATTCATGACTACTTGTTATTGCTATTTTCCAAGAACTACATTTTTCATTACTAGGATTCTTCCGAGCTGTTATCTGTAACCCACGCTGGCACCCAAGTCAGATAATAGAAAGATTAAATCTACCTCGACAAGCCAGAGAAAATGTTGCTTTTTATAGATCGCTAGGTTTAATTTCAACAAACTTTTAATCTCTTATTATCCACATCACATCGAATCGATATCCCTGAATAACCATCCTCTGTCAACAAGACTGAATAAAAGGCTCCTGCTTTAATAAAAAATCCAAGACAGGTCACGGCTTCCTTTGAAAAGCCACCCACTGCCTCGATAGTCCGGCAGTCATCGATACTTGTGGCTAATTCTTCTATTGTTTTGACCTTATTCTTTGAGCACCAATTTATCACTTTTTGCTTTAAAGACAACCTGTATCAACAAACTTTTAAGTTAAGCTATTATCCGGTCTACTCATGAAGGGGCATGAAGTCAAAGTGTGCTAATTGTATGTGATATCATTTTAACGTAAACGCAACAACAGTGGTTTCGTCGGTCCTGTTCTGTTCTGTCACAGTTGTGTGATTTCTGCAAGCAGTCCCATCCCCTTACAATTTATATTGGCGTTGAATATTTGGCACTTTTCTATGGTGGATCCTTTCGGTCAATGTTGAAATTCGTGTTTAATTTTCATATATTGTTTCTCTGTATACCATATGTATTGCGGATACGCTCTTTGCAATGTTTGCTTTTGCCTTTGAAGGAGTCTCCGCACACAGAGAGCGCTATCACTGAGTGCATCCAAATTCCTCTCTGTTAAGCAAGCTTGATAGCCTAGGCTGATGAATAAATGTGCTAGCATGCTTTAACTGGCACTCAATTCTTTCGGGTTGCTCAAAGCGTTGCCTCTGGTAAAATAAAAGAGAAAAAAAATTGACAACATTGTACGTATGGCTTCAAGCAGTCGTAAATTTGCTCTCATTAGTGAGAACAATCAGTTCAGCCATTGTATCGATGTAAAGATAATGTATGTCATTATTCGGGAATGAGATAAGAAGGGGACAGACACTACGCCATGTTTTACCACCTAAAAAAAAGATGCTTTGTTCCAGGCAAAAAAGCAAGCGAAACGCGTATGGACTAGTACTGATCTTACTCACAATATATCATATAAATGTAGGGTCTTTATCGGTATTTAATAATGGCATAAACTTGTAGCGGAAATGTAATCCGACCAAATGCCTTAAACATGAATTTTTAGCAAACCATTAATCATCCGGTCCCCGCCCTCGGTAGAAAGGAGAACATGAGATGGTCGACAAAGCTGTGCCGTAAGCCCTTAATTCCCGCCATATGTTATCAAAGTTCATTTCAATGTTCACTTGAACCTCGATAAAGTTATATTTAAACGCGAATAACAAGATATTAACCCAGTTATAAGTCATTCTTGAAATAAGTTCAACAAAGGGTATTAATGGGAACTTTTTTTGCACGGGGGCAGCGTGGAAGAATTCGTGGCATTTTGAAATCGTCAAACATAATCCTGTTTGTTTAAGAATTCCCTTGTTAGTGCTCCTACACAAACCAGTTCTTCCTTGAAAACGCACTTAAATTGAAAGATTTGTGTGATATTTCCGATATGTCATCTAATCAGGAATGCAAATGTTGTAGTGGTTAGTGATAAACGCCCTATGATACAATAATAAGGAAAAACAGGTATACACTTTCCACGAACATGAAAGAGGACATTACCTGGGTGCTTCCTTTGAAGGAACCGAAGAAGGAAAAGATTATTTCGTACATTAATATTGGGAAAACAGAACTGTTTTTAACAAAAACTGTCAGGATATCGTTAAAGAATACTTTTATCAACTCGCATAACAATATTCATCTTCATTGAAAATATGGCAGAAACGGCAAGATTCCTTAGGAAGATATTTTTCTTAAGTTTATTTTGTGACACTTTTTTAAAAGTTGAATTATTACCCATAGTTTAAGAAAAAGTTTTTGTATCGTACTGGATGTGCATTTGGCGAGGATCAGCGCTTTTCTGTCCTTTGCGAAGAGCCAGTTTCATGGTCACACGGCATTAATTTACCGTACAATAATTTGCCGTAACCTGTTGCTTCCGCAGGTTCAATAATGTCTCTTCCAACTGATAAGATGCTTCGTTCGAGTACGTGAGCTGAATTACTGCTATTCCAAGAAAGTTTTAGATATTTTTGTACTAACTACTTAAACTATGCACTTGACTGTACTTTTGTGAATGGTTTGTTTGTTGTTTTTGGCAGATTTTACTTCCAGGATTTGATCATATTCTAAACATAAACCTCCTTTCATTGTTTTTATTTAGAACGAGAAACTCGTAACAACAACATTGGATCACGAGAGACAATTTTCAGCTTGTTTTCTTTGCTTGAAAAATAAATGCCCAGAATTAATTCAGAATTGTTCACCAATTTAGGGGAATACCTCGGCAAAAACATGTTCTTTTTCTTCTTTGTTGCACAAAAATTCAAAAATTCAAAAAAAAAATTCACTTTCACAAAAGAAACTATAGGCAACCACTAATATGGTCAATGAAGGGCGGCAAAAGCGGTCATGCACTTACACCTCTCACCTCTGGTGCCGGTCTCGAGTTCGTATCCCTGATCGATTTGGCATCACGTGTAAGTAGAGTTCGTTTTAGGTCTCTTCTTTGACTTCCAGGATCGTTCTCCTAGCTCACCGGTTAAAAACTCCACCTTCGCAAATTCTTTTCCTAACGCTAAATTCAAATTCGATCTGTGATTTAGCCGTGTGTCCTGCCGTTGATCACTGAGCCTAGCTGTTTCAGGGTACATAAAAACCTGGTTGTTTTGTTGTTTTAGTATTAATTTCATCAGCTTCAGGCAGTTTTTAAAATGTTCTACAACGTAAATTGCAATCCATGTGTTTGAACAATTTAAAAAGTTGTGGCGTATTTTGTTTGAGCACAAAACTATAAATTTGATATACTACTCAGATGGCAAAGTCAAACTGACTGATACGTAATATTTATAATAAACCCCATATTTAGACTCAGGCATGGTATAATGATACCAGTTATCTACAGAACTAACAGCGTAATGAAACATCTTTTAACGAAGGGGATGTTCCTGACATCCCGAAAAGTCAGATTCCTTCTTTACGAAATGATTCCTTATTTACAAAATGAATGATACAATGAAACTCGTAATTTGTTTAGTTTAGTAGTGTTGTTTTTTGTTGTTGTTGTTTTTTTCCTTCTTCTTCTTCTTCTTCTTCTTCCGGCTTTTTTCTTTTTCCTTTGAGAAGTGACTTTTAAAAAGGTTTCGGATAATTTAGGAAATAGATTCTACTTTGGATCCCCTTGATGTCGTACGGAAATGTTTAAAATCGTCCTTATAGTTACTATAGTTACTATGCAACAGTTTTTCGTCGGGAATTTATTCCGTATCATCAATGTGACATTTCAGAGAGACACAAGAAAATTAGTTTTGCAAACAGAAACGTTAATAGCTTCTGGCTTGGTGCCGACTAACTACTACGTAATTATCTAATTTGCGTTCTAATAAATAATTTTAAATTTACAAGAAACATTTTGTTAAAAAGAATGATCACATTACAATCTTTTCTAACAAGACCTCCTTCATTTACTATATCTGTGAAACCTTAATTACTTTAATGAATGTGAGTGAAAGGAATGTTTGAACAGGTTTACTTGCAAGAAGCCTCATTAACTATAATAGAATTGAATAACGGCCCTTTACAAAGAGAAGGAGGTCCTCTTCATGTGTACTGTCAAAAACCAACACTTTAGACTTATTGGTTTAATGAGAACTTGGCTAATAAAAGAAAATTGATCTTAACTAAAATCTCAAACAAATGTCTCAACTTTTGTGGTCGATAATTGTGTATCAATCTCATTTATTTCAAGAAGGACCGCTCTTCTTTTCCATAGTACAAAAGTTATTTGTTTATAGTACCATTCAATGGGGTTCAGTTGATATAAAAATGATTGTTGAGCAAGGAGAAAAATACATATATACATAGTAAATATATTAGCAACTGACTGGCATTTTTAGTGCATTAGAAAAATCATAAACATCCACTAAAACTAAATCAAAGTCAAAATATCCCAGACAAAATAATCAAAGCTAAACAAAACTTGCCAAACTTTTTTGATATTCGATTTTAAAAGGCTATTGTTTGAAGTATAATGACTTGAAATAAAGTGTGACAGTGTTGTCGCCAGTATTTACAGAAATCTTAAAGTTTAGATTGCTGGTCAATCGTATCGATGTGACCTCCTCGAAGACACGTGTAAATCCATGGGACAAAGGCCTTTGCAGATAATGCTAAGACTTTTTCTGTCTAGGAGAAACTGAAATGGTTTTTGTTTTATTATTTACCTGTGGTTTATCAGGCCCTGTGTGGCCAAACGACCAAGAAATAAAGTTAATTAAACCTGACACATTGACAAGAATGAAATGGTTTTGAAGTTTTGATGTTTTTCTCAAAAGTTATGGACTGATCTAATCTTTTTCTCCCATATAATACCCAGGAATTATGAAGATTAATTCTGTTCAAGCAAGTGAATTCATCTTTATTGTGGAGTAATTCTTTTTGACAGCATTTCACTACTCCATATTTAAACACTTCAAGTACTTAACCAAGTAATCCTTTTTAGAACAAAACTGAACGTTTTGATTTTATCTCGTAATTATTTTAATTTTTAATGGATTTTTTATTTCTAGGTTAGTTTGTTTTCCACCTCAAAAAACTTAATCTCAAATCTCCCAAGTCATATGTGACTTCTTAAACTGCTTTAAACTGCTATTCTTTTAAATCATGACAAATATTTTAAGATTTTAAAATATCTACATGGGTTTAAATTGGCAACGCATGGAGAAAGAAAGCTCGCAAGAGTTTTCTTTGAACACTGAACACATCACAAGTAAAACCGAATTTACTTTTTCCATCTTGATAAAATTTTATCCTGACTGCTCATTCAATGTTTACGGAACTCGAATGTCATCTCATTTCACGAAGATTAGCATTTCAGTTGTACTTGAGTACATAAAATCCCGGCTAGCCTCTCAGTTTCTTAACACGACTATATACAAGGGAGGTACTACTTTAACATTTCCTTGTACCTCAAATTCTAGAATAAATAAATGAGAAATATTATTAAAACACTCTAGCAGTAAGTATAGTCCATTGTCTATTAGCATGGTCGGTTCTAAGTACCCTGACGACTATGCAGCGATGCAAGATTGTTTGTGTGTCTGTTGTTGCTCAAGCAAATTAGCTCATCTGAGTTGAGGCTCGATATACAGTCTTTAGTAAAGCCATGATCTTTGTAAGGTGTTACTGGAAAATCCTCTAGTTTGTTAGGCTGGGAAGTCTCTGTCGTTTCTTTTGTTGTCGATGGTTCTCGTGGGGAATCGTCGTCTCGTTTTTTCGAATCTAATGATTCTCGTTTTTGCTTTCTCCATTTTGCTCTTCTGTTTTTAAACCATACCTGTGGATAGTAAAATAGAGAAAAATCAGTACTGGCTTCTGTAGGTCTCGTAAAGTAAGATAACGCTCAGTTAAGGTTTGGGGCTGCAATACTGCAAAGATGGTTTGTATAGAGACCATTTGCTGCTATCATTTCATCATTACCATTATCATCATATTAACAAATATTAAAAATCAATAAAATTAACTTTTAAATGATGATTGCTTTTTAACAGTGGTGCCTTAATTAACACACATCCTCATCTTCATTCCTTAACATTCTATTCAATATTTCACTCAAAAAAACATATTACTCGTATTTCGTGAAAGAATTAGGGTGTACATTGAGGTGTAGGGTGTCTCTTTTTTGCTCTTATTTTTGTTTATTTATTCTCGATTATTTGTTTTATTTAGTGTTTAGTTTTTGCTACTTTCTTGGAGGCTCTAGCTGCCACACTACACTAGTATATATCCCTCTCCTAATCACTCGCTTTGTTTGGTAGATTATCATCATTCATAATTAGGCTTTATCATTTCCTAATATGTTTTATATACTCTCGCCTAATTTTCCCACACCGTTTTCAACAAGTCTCGACCTTTCTTTTCAAATTATTGCAATGTAATCCTCGATTTTATCTGAGGAAAAAATAATATTTTGCAACCTTCTCCTCGTTAGTGAGTATTCTAAGCATCCACGTGAATACCTTTATTTTTGCATGCAATTCTCTTCTCATAGGCTTATGCGTAGGACTAATTGTTCGGGACGGACATTCCGCCCGATATCATGTTCCACACAACATTCCCTTAGGGCTTCTCACTATTCTATCAACTTTTAACCTTGTGTCCTTTACAAAATGGAATCACATCACAACACTCTGTCCAATTACCAACCAACTTGTATCGTCTTCCAAGCAACGCCACATTTATCACCTAACTATTGTTATTTGCATTAACCTTATCTTTCAAACGCAATTTGTTTTCAGTTCGCCATAAAAGCTGCTCTCTGACCTAAGTTTGATCGATCTTCATTACAACTAAACCGTTCGGTTTAATTTGTCTGTAGGTCCGGCTTTTTGTATTTGAATTTTCTTAATCAATCTCTTCTTATCTTTCAAACTAAATTTCTTATTAGTTAGGTGCACTAATGGGCTTTGGTCTATTTAATAGTTCTGCCTCCAGCAACTCAATCAAAAGAGCTAGCAAACCGATGCTTTACTGTACTTGGCTTAAATTTGACCTAGTGGCCGAGTGCAGCTTCCTTTTCTACTATTTATTACGCAAAACTATATGAAATGACTCTGGTCTATCTAATTCTGCTTCCAGCAGCTCAATCAAAAAAGGTAGCAAGCCCATACTTTACTTGGCTCTTATTTGACCTAATTTCATTCAACTTCCTATTCTACTCTATATCACGCAAAACTGACAATATTAAATGTTTTTCTCTTTCCTTTCTTCTTTATCTTTCCACAGCAATGGTAGATAAAATCTATCAAAGTTGGAGTCACAACAATCACAATCCCAGATATAAAATATAACTTTAGGTCAGAAATTATTATGTCTTATCAAGAGCGAACGTGCAGCACATTTTCCATTCGTCCAAAAAATCCTTCAATCACTGAATACTTGAACACATATGGTAAGGTGAATTAAGGATGTGCAAAAGCTCCCTTATCGGTATATTATAATCGGAGTTCTTTTTGCTATTTGAGGAAAACAATTTGGACTTTTATTTCAATACAAAAGTTGAACAAAACGCCCTGATTATGCAGCAGTGAGTTGAGCAATGGGGAGAAATTATAATTCGCATCGTTCGATTTATACTTGGATGGAAAAATCCCTAACAACAAAGTTATGATATATCATTTAGTATACCATATCATAAGCCACGCATTTACTAAAGTTCATTTTTTAGTAATGAAATATTTTATTAAATTCTATTTTAGCATGCAAGAAATCAGTTAGGAGATTCAGACTATTAATATGAACAGTGTCAACCTATGAACCGCCTAGCTAGCCCACCAAATAGTAAGCCATACGCATCATTTAACGTTTGTACAAAAAGTAAATTCAAAACTTGTACTGCTGATCTAAAAATGTACTGTATGTAAAATATATAAGGAAAAATTAAAGCAGTTTGTATACATTGATGTTATGTTATGATGTCAAATGTTCAGTTTTCAAACAACGCCAGTTCATGTCATCACGAAAAATGTTATGGCAGATCATCGAGTCAAACGCTTTATTGTCCTGATAAAATCCTTCGCTATTTTCCCTCAGAAAAGAAACAACCAAATGCTATTAAACAATTTCAATAATAGATTCACAAATATACGCTGTTAAAATAATAGAAACTTCTGTCCGTCTATGCGCGGTAAAATCTTGTGTTTTACGCTGCAGCATCACAAAGATAATGTCTTAGCAAAAATTATCCGGTATAAACTGTGGTTAAATTGTAAATAAAGCATACAAACGTTTTTATTCATTATTTGTGGTGAGTTAGACAAATGAGTTTTTTAAAAGTTGTTGGTTTTTCCAAGAACAAGAGTGAATATGAATATAAGCATTGCTCAACTGGAAGGTGAAGAAACTCTCAACTGATGCGTTTAGCAAATTCATTATTCTAAAATAACTCGAGAATTGTGTTTGGATTCGAACATCTTTAGTAAGATTTTAGGCCAAAAAGATATTTTAAAAAAGTTGATAATTCTTATCTTTGGAAGGGTTGCAAAATATAATTCTTTTTTTCTCTCTCTCTTGAACTGATTAAATTGGCCCAACAGCAAAATCATTCTTGAGACAGCCATTATTTTACAACTGTGTTATTATGGATCCAATGTTGGTCAAACAAAGCATTAGGTTCAGTTAATCTTCTTTAGCAATTTACTTCAAACAGAACAAAAATTATTTCATTGAGAAAGAGATTTTTTCCAAAGGAAGCCGCGAGTAAAGKATTTACAAGATTTGATAAACAGTGTTGGGTCAGATGAAGCAAACCGGCAAAGCATATTCAGTCAGAACTGTATACTTTCTGTCTTGTTATCGATTCAAAATGAACCCGTAACTTGCCTGGTTTCCCTGTTGCACTAAAATTACTCCTTGAATAAAGGAAACGCTTAAAACATAACAAACAAACGAATCTCTTGTATTTATAAATACAGGGGAGAAAAGTGACATTAAAGACTCTAAACACCAACCTAATTCTATTATGCCCTGTCGAGGCCTCTCGAAAGAAAAGCCTTAAACGCAAAACAAAAGATTAACAATACAATAGCTCGTTAAACTTGGCGATTCCATAATGTTTCAATTCAATTAAATTGTCCGATTTGATTTTGTTTTGAACAACACAAAATAGCTGTTTTGAAATGCTACCTCTGAGGGATCGAACTAAAGCAAGTATAGCTATTGTTCACGCTAAGTTTCTGTGGTTTTTAAATTGACCAACTCCCGCGTCTCTTAAGCCCTAAAGTGGAAAACTTCGTACGTTATAAACACCCTTCGCAGATAGTTCAAACAATTTATAAGCGGATAGAGGTAGAGAGCTAACGTTTGGGGTTCTCAAGAAGTGGATTTGTTATCTTTCTATAAGAACCTTGGACCATGAAGTTAAGTTCCACTGCATGTAGTGAACAGATCACTTTATCAATTTGTAAATAAATCAAAGCATCAATATATAGTTTATTCAGCTTTTCCAGGCGTTAGAATGCTTTCATCAGCCGTAAAAGTGAGTGTAATTGCTTCAAAACGCGAAAATGTAAACTCAATAAACTCATGGCAAGATGCCGTGCTGTCAAGTTAACGCCATGCGTATTTACTATTCGGACTTATATCTCCCTATTAAGCTAATTTTGATTCACTACGCATTAATTTTTTTTTAAAAAAACAAGTGAAGAAAGCGAAGAAAACGTTGCAGATTTTTAGACCAAATTCCTGAAGTGAAGTCTTTAAGATTTTGTAAGATCGACACACTAATATTTCGCTCAGCGCCCCACCCAGACATAGTGTCTTCGTCTTATAACACTTCATTCGTCATTAGCAAAACGTTTTCCTAAACTGTTGTGATAATTTTCTACAAATACGGAAACTAAGCTCGATAATAAGACTAGTATGGAAACGTCTCTTGCTGTGATTGTCTAAAATAGAAGGTTTAAGTAAAAGAAATCTATGAAGAGAGATTCCACTACCGAACTGATTGATTCTCTCTGCATGGCGCCCGTGTATGTGACTAAGTTGCTTCCAAAAACAATGCAAAAGCGCGCTCTAGTTCAATAAATTGTACATATCTTTAAAGTACACCTACAACGAAATAACACCCGAATTGAATAATCTTAAGAAATGAGAGTAATAACTGAGAATCACTAGGGAAAAAGAGATTGTATGATATTTTTGGACATTTTTCTCAGAGGATACAGAGTTTGAAGGCTCAAATTTTTTGGGGTTTCGTAAGATCGTAAGATATTTGCAACGTGCAGGAGCCGCATTCACACCGAGGTGTTAGGTAGAGTGGAGACACAGGTCTGGAGTCTGTACAAGGAGTGAAACGGTTCTCTATAACAAGTTAAACATTCGTCTTTTTGAACCATAAATCATACCTCGTTCGTGTTTGTAGAGCCGGCGCCACTGACATTTCCTTTGTGCCTCTGTCGAATTTCCTCGAAAATTCCGAAGCCATTTCTAGTTGTGTTTTCAAGCCTTTCTACGTGATTTTTCTCCTAGAATTTTACCGTTACGGTACGCCTGACAAATTGTTGTCCTAAGTCGATCAAAGGTAGGCGTTGGTACAGTAGACGAATGTGGTGCCCCTTCAGGAATGGCATCCTAGAGAAATCATTAATCTTACCCTCTGACAGTTAAGGCTATCGTATTTACTTCGCAATTAACTAAACGCCGCTTTCTAAATCTGCACACCATGCTAAGACTTAACAAAAATATCAAATCGAACGAAATAGATGAACTCAGGTTTCATCTGCGATCCCAGAGCTGACTATTTGGAAACATAACCTTTAGTAGCTAAACCAAGCCAATTCAACAATAAAAAAACAACACACTCCTCAAAAGAATGCTCCAAACGAGACCCCTCTTCACCTTTATTCGAAAGCTTACGCAAAGTRCCATAATATTTGATCATACTAATACTGTATTTTGCGAGTTTATTCGTGTAAGTCACAGTTGGGTTTCTGCACAGACCAGGCGTCGCTAAGTTCTATTAATTTACACCACATTTCCGCGCTTGCAGTGCCATAATTTAATCAACTCCCAATAGGAGCTGCTGCAAGGTACTTGAGGACTATGCACTCTCAGTGTCGCTTAACCTTCTGTTTTGAGGTTAACAAAGATGTCTCGTAATCGCTCGTACAGAAAAGAGGTCGCCGTCACTTTCAACATTCAATTAAAAAAATCCCATTATTTCCGCGGCTTCAAGTTTATCGCGGCGAAAGCCAAAAATACCCCATTTGATCAAAATTGACTAAATCAGTCTATTCCTATGTAAAGATGTGCTTGTTGTACTGACTTATAGTAAGCTATTTATGAGGGGATTCTCCTACCTCTACTCGCTCCTCTTTTAAGTCGACTTTCATGGCTAACTCCTCTCGAAGCAGTACATCAGGGTAATGGGTTTTTTGGAAGGTTGTTTCAAGAAGATCCAATTGATCTTCAGTAAAGATGGTTCTATGGCGTCGTTTGCGTTTTGGATGGGATCGTAAAACATCAGCGTATCGTGGAAAACCAACTAAAAATAAGATAGAGTAATAAAGTAAGCGAGCATCTCCTTTTTTTTTCTTTAAAGATTATCGATGATTTGTGAAGGCTGTACAGGTCGAAATCACACTTCCAAAGCATTGCCTCATTTTCTTCCCGTACTGCAAATCACGATTGGAAAGCATTAAAGTTTTAATTACAAATCTCTTGAGAAGTTAAGCACGCATGTCATGTCAGAAGTTGTTGAGTTGTGAGAAAGTGGGTTAACCTAAAGATTTCATGCGTTACACCTCTCAAGAAGCTCCGTGAACCTGCCGCATTAAATAACAGCTCGCTCGGACGTGAATGAAGCACTCAAGAGAACCTAGTCTGTCAGCGGAGTGAATATATCACATATGTAATAATCAAAAGTATAGCATCCTTACCTATATATCCAGGAGGAGTTGGCATGATAGGGTACGGGTGACTATATATACATGGTGTACACTGTGGTCGATATGTCGGCCGAGACAAAATGCTATCGATCGTGAAGGACGACGTGAATGAAGACATTATTTGAAAGGCAATCCTGCAAATGCCTCCGGCTGTCTTAAATCGGCAGTAGAATGTTAGGAACGCTTTAAGAGTTGATTATAACGAGGGTCCCCCGCGGATCCAATCTCGCTCCGTTGTGTATCGGCTCACTTCTTCACACTGACTGGCTAATAGCCTCAATATGCGGCCCGTTTTGTAACGAAAAAAGGATTTACGAATTACTTCCAGTTTTAATTCGTTACGTCACTGATAGGTGTTTTGTTTGCGAGCGCGGGCCACACTTCATCCAGACAATCCGGGACTGCTCAACCAATCATCATCGAGCACACTAATTGAAATTTGATTAAAACAACACGGTGAACGTCGTCAATTTCACGAGCCCTGTATCCATATATCTTCTGTCACTGTCTCCTTAGTAATACGAGCAACACATACCTCCTCGTTCAAACAGCCACCCGGACTGTTCTTGACAGTCATAGGGCCCTACGCTCCGCCCAACCAATTAAGAAGTTTATGATGGGACAGATCGAATGTTGTTAATCCCTTTTGAACCCCGCCATCCCGTTTTATTCTCCCCACCACCAAAACAAAACCAAACGCACTGATTTTTTATTTCAAAGTGGATTTTTGTTATCTTGTTTGAAAAGAATTATTTCTGATAACCTCCGAGTCGTCTTTTGCGATTTAATTTGAAACCCCAATACGTATGAGCTGATCCAATGCGCTGATATTCAATCCTACAGCTTTTTTTATGATTCGCCGGAGATAGTTTGGTTACAAGCCGCGGAACAGCTTAGATAGTACAAGCTTCACGTCGCGATAAACCCCTTCTTCTGACCATCTGTTTGCTCAGAGCTTTAAACAGTCATTCCACAGCCTTTCGTGTATAAAAACAAATACTACAAAACCCAAGAAATTCCCTTATGAGTTTTAGACAGTAAATTTCAATATAAACGACGTAAAGCTCGATCAAAATTGTTTAGATTCTCTTACGCTATCACTTTGTAAACTTATGACATCTTGTGAACGGAGACAGCTATGACGCATTATAATCTGTAAAACGGTAGTGAGAAAAGAGTCAACCACTCAATTCTTTAATTAACGGAAAAATTATTCCCTTCTTAGAGCGTCTCCGGAATGGGGAGGTTTAAGGCAAAAAATCCTCTATCTGAACCAGTAACGTTCTAGGAAGCTTTAAAACCCTTAAATCGTTATGAATACTTCGATTACCTTTAAATTAAAGTTTGTGAGCTTAGGTTAACCTAATCCAACACTCGTTGATTAATTCCTTATTTTGTAGTTCCAAATTATATCATATCGTCGTGGGGGAACAAGGGGTCTTGGTTGGATTAATAGCCTTCTTTGTTTTTTCACTCATTTTGCCACCTTTTCTTGGGGTTTGTTTGTCAAAGACAATTTAGTCAAATTTCATCAACATATTCTCGTTGCCTTTTTTATTGTTCGTTTTGATTGTGTAATCTCCGCTTTATCCTAATCTCAAAACAAATGCCTCCATCTTCCATGCTGAAGAATACTCCGTTGTTATTAAACTATTAGATAGTCTGCGTTTGTAAAGAATTGTAAAGAAATCAACTTATGTGTCCGGCAATGGCCATAGGGCGTTAGAAAGTTTGGGCCCGATCGAGCACGTCCTAATTGACTAACAGAGAAGGTGTTTGTGGTCTCTAATCGATGGAGTTTCAACACCTTTGAGTTTTGGACCCCCTCGGCTCCCAGAGAAAAGAACCAACATTTATATAACCAAGTACAAATGATACTAGTGGCAGGTCAAACAATCTGCTACCATGGATCCGAAGACACTCTTCAAATATTCTTGTCAAGAAAAGAGTTTGCTGGTAAAACAACAAAGTTAGTAACTCATTGAGAACTAAGGACAGGGACTGAATGGGCAAAAACGAGACCCAAATGTTGTTGCAAAGTAATAAAATCAATGAAGCACTCACTGAACAAATGCGATAAGAATATATTGATACCCAGCCAGTTATCAGTTAGACACTATTATTTCGTTCAAACTTTGATACTAATTCTGTTTGAACATTTTTTTATTAAAAAACCTTTAAAAAAATAATGAAAAAAGATCGTTCATCTTTAAAATTACCTAAATGTTTTTTGTGTGGATTAAGTCATAAGTTTTAAATATTCGGAAGAAATGCTATTTGTTTAAGCAAGTTTTCTTTTTGTGGTCGACTGGTGGTGATGGGTTGTTTTGTTCACATTGAGTGTTTGACTTTATTCGTTTATCTTTTAGTTCACTTCTATTTGCAAAATGATACTCTTATGACAGTCGTTTACAGTTATTAGATTTTACTCTCTATTCTAAACTCAATTTAAAAAACAGAATAAACTTTTTAATGTTATCGTAAAACTGAATTAATTAGATTGCTTAATGAGTATTGAACGTTTTTTGAAAACTAAAACTATCCCAGCTGCTTTAAACACGAAAAGCCACCACAAACAATAGGACGATTCTTTCTCACTGTCATTTGGTCCATCCGCTCAGAGGTAATTCTGTTTTCTCTAGGTAATTGGTCAGTGTATATCGAAACAACGATAGTTTAGATCTCATGAGCAACGTATTTTCTTTCGGTAAACTTTGAGAAACAATAGCCTGTGGTTACACTTGTCCTGCATTTTCAAACAAACATCCAGGATTCTTTGTAGTGTTGGTATCTCTCACATGGAGATAAGAGAGCGCCGAACTGAATTAACTGTTATACTAGCCTCTTCTAGTAGTAAGCAAATCTGTTAATTATTTCACTTGATAAAATTAAACTGAAAATCTAAAAGGAAACGTGAGGGAATCTGTATATCCAATCGTAGTGAGAAACTTAGCATGAGGAAGTCAAATACAACGGTTTTGTATCAGTTTGATAATAAAAACAGTTGAGCAGTCGATTGCATGCGTGCTGAGTTCTTGTAGGACTAGTTTGAGTTTGAATGTGGGCCATGAGTACTAGCATTGACAAGTTGGCTATTACTATATACCCCTAAGTACTACTGTATATAAAGTATTATTTTGTACAAACCAGCCATGATCCACCTATTCCTTAACGTGATATAAAATGAAAATGGACATATTCGATTTAGAAAAAATAAATACGTCTAGATCAGTGGTATTCCTGCATTTCCCTCAGTCCTTATTAGTTACGTATTGAAAGTCATATTTTGTAAGGGGGCTTAGAGCACCCGAAGTACCACTCTAACCATTTCAAAAAAGGCTTGCCCTGAGGCTTCCTAAAGCCTTACAAATTGGTTTTTTCTTAAACAAATAGGCTGGATGCTTTATTCGATTCGAGGGTCAAAATTTAGCAAAGAATACAATTAGTATTTTACAATTATATATTCCCTCCCACCTCATATCGATTTGAATTTCTCGTATCGAGGCGTTTCAATCGCAACAGATAACAAAAACGAACTAGAAAATTTGCTTCCGTCCGTTTAGAAATGCAACGTCCACCGACCTATTAACTCTTTTGTAAATTCAAGACACACATGAGTACATGGCTAAAAGTTTTCGATTTGGTCTATCCGTGATTCTTTGTTTACTGGTCAATTTGATCGAGCGGTTTCATCCGTTTAGGAAGGCAGGTTAGTCGAGTGTTTCAAGGGCCAAAAGAAATCTGAATAAAGGAGAATGAGGATTTAGATCTCTATCTCATTATGAGCTATTTGGTTGTGAGCGTCGGCGATACAACTGTTGAATAAACGTTTAGGATTGAAATGAGATAATTAGGCTAGTGTTAGACGTGTTAAACCAATGAAAGGAAAGAACGTTTCTTTTAAAAACACTTGTTAGGAAAAGCTTTTGTCTTTTCGATTCTGTCGAATTTTAACAAACTGAATCCAACTTAATTTTGCCATGCAGTGAGTGTGTCAGTGAATATTTTTTCGCTCACCTTAAGAACTAAAGAAAGACGATAAAAATATATCTTAAAGATAAAAAAGGCAGCGTACGAGAATAATGAAAACAATTGAAGGAAAATCAGACGATTGTACATTTTTCAAATAAATTTTATCGCGTAGGATGTTTCCTTACACTGAAAAGTAGTTTTAAAATTTGTGGCCTTAAAAGTTGTCGATCTTCGAATAATGTATTACGACACATACTTTCTTAGTGCAAACACGAGTTATTCGAAGTAGAAATATAGATGAGAGTGTAATGCCGCCTGAATATTCTTTCGCACAGAGACTGAAATATGTATCCATCAAAAATTAACACAATTTTTCGTAGGATGACCTCAATGTATTCAATAACACCTAGGCCTTGAAAAAGCACAGCCCATTTTGCAACGGGTTGCTGTTCTAATTAAATCAAAATGTACATTTGGATGTACAGATTTGTGGATCGGTGATAATTACTAAAAGATCAGATGAATGAGATTCTTGAAGCCGTCGATAGATCGACGATAGATCTTAAATCAATGACATTGTAACGGAAAAATCTTGATAATTGTTCATGATGAATCATAGTAGCCCACTACTTTTATCTTTTCATGTGTACGAACTCGACACCTATTTGTACCGTTTATTTTATTAGACCCATGATACCTGCTTACCCCACATGATATTATGCTGGTCAAAAATTAATTAAATGCATCGCAGGGACAAGTCTTCTAGGTATCGTTTCAACGCTTCGATCGATATAGTCACAGACCCTCAACATATGTTGCACTTACGAGCTAGAGTAATGCTACCTCATCTTCCATTGATGCAGAAGAAAATTTTCCTTAGTCTTCCCCTAGATTTTTCGTTTGCAGATTTTTTAGTCTAATTTTGAATCGATTTTCCAAAAAGAAGGAAAAAAAGAAAAAAAAAACGGTAATAATTTGTCATCCGGCCGTTTCCAGGGAAATGTAGACTTTGAAATCTGGGTCATGTAGAGAGTAGAGTTACGGTCGTCATGGGTCTAACATCTGTTTCACCAAGATCAAAAATCTTGGAATTCACAAGAAGTAAGCATTTTATTTATTGATTTCACTCAAGATTAAGAACTAATTCCTCTTTAAGTTCAAAAATGTACTTGTTCCTGAACGAATTTGGTTGAAAAATTCCCAAAGGGGTTGAGCAACTAGCCGTCAGGAAATTTGGCGTTATCTTCGAGGTGGTCACTTCCAAGCGATGACAATTCTTAAAAGCTTATCTTTTAAATATGAAATCTAGTTTTATTAAGGTATATATCCGCGTTTAAATCGGTTGAGTGTTTCATTAGATTTTTTCTTGGTTGTTAATAGAAATTCATTAACACTTATTTATATGCCAAAAAACTTTACCTCCATAGCATGTTGGTACCTTATTTTTGATTTTTCTCGTAGCACAGCATTGTTATTTTTTGGTCTATCGCCCACGTAAGATAAGAAACATCGGATCGCGAGGTTAATCGAAAATCACCCTCTATAATAGACTCAACATTATTGTCTTTTCCTATGGGTATGGCACCAGCATTAAAAAAGGCAAAGGTAATTTATTTTACTTCGATAACGCGGGGAGTGGTTGCCCAATTCTCCCGAGCCAAGGGCTCATGTTTAATGCGCTCGAAGGTATACCCCCTCTTACCATCAGTGCTCCTTTTTTCGGGTATTTAACGCTAATTAAATTAAAGCTACACAGAACAGAGAGAAGTCGAAACAGACTATGGACCTCTAGCTCTGAAGGCCGCACACTAACCAACTGAGCTACGCCTGCTCCTATATTGATAAGAATACATGAATATGGCATTAGCTCTGTAAGTAAGTGGCCCCTCACATATTTCGGTGATCCACTGTCGATTCAAGAGTACCCCTCCCCACCCATTCTTTTTTCAGAAATAGCACGTTTGTCTTTGGATAACTCAAATAAAAAATTAATGTTTATTACTGAGTCCTATTGACTCATCTTTACCACCGTTAAGGCGTTATATGAGTTTTTATCAGCCCCAACTTACTAATCTGAGTATCAGGCTCTCTTGGGGAGAGGAAGAGGGGAAGAGAAGAGATGTCCCCAGGCACCACGAAGGCCTGATACTCAGGTTACCAATGACATACCTGCCAATAAGACTATAATTGACAGAAAAACACTATAGAACCGACTCCTAGAAGAACCAAGATATCCGAGACCTTGCCAAGGCAAAATTATGTCAGTGTTTGCTATTGCTCGTGTTTTCATACAGAGAAAAAACACGTGTTATTATGATTATATTATTAAAAAATAAATTGTTTTCCAAAATAAACAATACATTAACTCCTAGTAGCTACTGCCCTTTCTCCATTTGCATTGCCATATATAGGCAACCTATACTACAACTACCAGAATTCCTTGCACATTTTTTAGCTGCCTAGCATCCATCAATTCACTAAACATTCTGGTCGTTGCTGCTTATTCTAGTTCCTTGGTTATTAAATTCCTACGTATTCTTTTTCCATTCACAGCCGTAAAATTTTAAAATCGGGGGACAAAAACTGAACATACCGTGATCTCCTATTGTTGTTCTTAGTGGTTTTTAACTTCTTTTTGGTTAGTTTTGTTGCCGTTTTTCTCATTTTCTCCCTCTCCTCCCTAAAAGTGGTAAAAAAACATCTAAAAACCACCAAAAATAAATAAATACATTTTCATTCGCTAGTTTCATGCATAAACTGTAAATCGCTTTAAGAAAATGATTGATGTTCTCGAATGAATGAATGTTTTTCATTTTATTTGATAAATAGATAATTTTCCTTATTTTTCCAGGAAGACACTGAAAGTAACCCCTCACTTACGCATTTCATTGGCTATAAATTGAAAGTTTATTACCATTGATTAACCCATAGTGCCATTTATAAATCACGTAACTCATTGAGGTTAAATCTTTCTTTATGTAACGAAGTTGCAACCTTAACTGATGAGAATAGAAATAAAGGTCTTGCATGATCACATGACGGCGATGGTTCGAAAAAATATCATTTTAAATAAGAACTCAATTTCCCATGCAAAAGGAGATTGCAATGCATGACGTCCAACATGGYCGCCGGCACTCCATCGTGCAAAAAGTCTATACAAGTATCTAAAACAAAGTAAGAATCTTCATCCAAAGACTACGCAAGCCAACTGCAGCGCAGAACGTCTACAATGCGGCGTTGTGGCGACACTATGTCACAACCGGTTTTGATTGGATGGAAAGTAATATCGCGTGTTGTGATTCGTTGAACGGATGCGAACCCTAACGTGACGATGCATATGTCGCGAATGTTACAATCATAAGACCTAACCTACCGTGTGGACAGGTCGGTAACGGTTAGTGGTCTTGATCGCATGATGCTGTCGCCCTTTTAAAATAATGTTTCCTTGGACGAAATACTTGGATTGGAAATCTGGCATTTGGATAAAATAACTAATATTTGTCTGGAGTCTTTTTTATACTTTCTCCAAGATGCAGCAAAACGTAATAGCAAGAGGGATTTCTATAATTCATCGTAGATGTGGAACAATATGCTGTTCAATATGCTGTCCAAATTGATTGACATCAATGTTGATGGATCTAAAGAGATGAATGAGAAAATGCTTTCTGGAGCATTTGAAAAACTTCCGTACCGCGCTTATGGTCCTCCAGATCATCAGGGTACCATTCTTGTGAAAAGGTCATGGCGCAACCTAAGATGCTCGGTATTCCTGTGTCGGGGGAGGCAGACTGACTGAGATTATCACGTGTCACTCTTACTGGATTTAAGATGGGCATCTACGTGATCTAAAATAGTCTAAGGATTAAAATAGAAAAAAATATTATTCATTTGACAAACTTAGGCATCTTGGCAATGTACAACACTAATGTTTACAAACTACCTGGGCCCGATTATACGGATAGATAAAACATGTCCAGTGGATAAATTTTTTGGATAACATTATCGACTTATTCACTTGATAAATATTTATCCAACGGATAGCGCTATCCACCCTTCATACCACCGAGTACTGGACTAAAGAAAACAGTGTGCATTAAATTATGATGACGTCATAAACAACATGAATTTAAAAATCACGTGTTATGTGACGTATATAGAATCCTTGCAATAAATCGGAATGAAGCTTAATAGACCTTTCCCGAATTCGCTTGGCTGACAACAAAACGATGGTTTCAAGTCGAGCCTGGACTTGATGAATAAAAAAATGGTCATTTAAGCGAATCCAGGAAAGGTCTATTTGGAGGACATGTTTCCAATTCTCAGAAGATGGAAATTCTTTTGTTTTGTCTTCCAAATTGAGCTGCTTTGACATCACATGCAAGGGGTCTATTCGGCAATTTCGTCTTAATACTACAAGAGGTTTAAAAGAATTGTGAATTTTTTGACTCTTTACCTCTATGTTATCTGATTCTCCAAAAACATGGCCACAGTCAGCCCAAAGGCACTTATCAATGGCTCCTTGCTGCATTATGTGGAAATCTAAGGCAAAAGACAGCATGTAAAACTTGTGGAAATAGCAGATAGGGTGGGTTGATTGTCGCACATTTTTCGATTTTGTGACTAATTACGCTTGTCTGGGGCTCAGAATTTTTTCCACTTTCCTATGTCTGTTCCATAAATTTTCAATATAATGATGCTTGTATCGACTTTAGGAACACTGGGGGAGCCCGCCCAAAACGCCCTGTCCCTTCCCCTTGCCTCTCACCCAGGAAAATGAGGAGATGAACGGTTTTCACTGGTTTGCTTTTAGGCCTTTAGGGCGGACAAGAATGAGGAACTATCAGGAGATGGCAAATGCACCTGTACTTACCTTTAATGTGATCTTTCATGTGTGAGACGATACCAAAATTTAACTGACAATCTTTCCACTTGAGATAAAAATAATCAATCAATCAATCATTTAGTCATCACCAGAAGTCTGGTCATCACAGTTTTAGTTTCATGGCCCGGTTGCACTAAGAATGTATAGCGCTATATCTGACGGATAAATCTTAACATCGATAACAGCATCGAGTTATTCACTGGATAAGGTTAAAGCGCATGACAGTGGATAAGATTTGTCCTTCGGATACGTCAGATACAGATATGGAGTCAACGTCCTCGATGCTTAAGGTCTCTACGCAAGACGGCTACTCTCTTCTAGTCTTTTTCAGAGTTTTAGGTTCTTTCCTCTTACCTTACAAGGATGGTAAACTCTTAGATCCAGCTTAAAAGACGAAACTTTGCCATCTCGAGTACCGCTATAAATCTAGAAAGAAAGAAAAAAGACAAAAGAAAATCTTAAAGATGTGCACCTGGGGACGGTGTCTCAGTAGACCCTGTGGGACGACTGGACCTCTCCCCAAACAAACACAACAAAGTTTCCATTCTTTTTTACTTAATTACTTAAATTACTTTATTTCTCACTTAAAAGTTGTGTACTTTCGAAGTTTTCTCCTCTCCGTCATTCAATGCTGCATCTTAAGGGGCTAAGAGACAAATAAGTCACCAGAACCAAATATTTAAGGGGGGGAGGTGAAGTACTGCCATAAAGTGTTCCTCTCTCCCCCTACCCAATGTTGCACCTTAAGGGACTATGACACCAACAAGTCACCAGAACAATATTGTTCAGGGGGAGGTGGGGTGCTTGCACAAAGTGTTCCCTCTTCCCCTATCCAATGTTGCACCTTAAGGGGCTATGAGACCAATAAATCACCAGAACCAAATATTTCAGGAGGAGGTGGGGTGCTTCCCCCACCCTCAAGTAACAGCTATATGAACCATTATTCCCCTATATATGCTAGAGTCCACGTGCTGTCCTTTATTTTTCGGTAAAAAAAATTTAGGGTACTTGTCGTTGAACTGTTTTCACTTTATCATTGTCTCTGTTTATCGAACTGTAAGATTCATCCAATAGAGCTTACATATTCAAATGTACACATTTGGACCTTAGGGATGCTAATGAGCAAAAATCACACGCACTGCGCCAATCATGTGTATTGTCAAATCATCTATTTACTGTTAATGTGACAAACATTTTAGAGTGATTAAATAATATAACTTTGTTTCAAGTGCGAAGTAAAATCACTCCACTTATATAGTAGTAATAAATTATGCGTTCGGTGTGTGTAATGAAATAGAGAGAATAAGAGAAAAACATGAAATGCCCTTGGCGGGAATCGAACCCACGTCTTCGGTATTCCAGTCCGATGTGTTAACCACTACACCACAAGGACCAACCACGCTGGTAACGCATCCGGAATATGAGATGTAGGGTACTTGTGAGGATCCCAGAGCGATATTTTTTCTCTATAGGTAAGTTGAACACCGTAAATATGTACGTTGGGTTCGATTCCCGTCAAGGGCATTTGATATTTTTCTCTTATTCTCTCCATTTATATAGTGTATTGTACATTGATTTATTGGATTATCCGATAGATATCTGATTCACAATTTAAAAATCAATAAACCAACAAATTACTTTGTCGTACGCCTTTATATTATCACCCGAAACTAAAATCTAATCACCTAACCACAGGCAGCCCAAGCTGTATTATGGGCGTGGACACGTGATGGTGCAAAACCCTTATAGTAATCATGGTACTAGGACTAGCTAGGTCTAGCGTTTGTGGTCGGTATCCCCAAGGGAAGAAAGCAAAAATAAACATCCTACATTGGCACCAGAGTCATCCTTCCTTCATTTGAACGGACCTCGAAGTCAGCTATGTTAACATTATAAATTTACTTACCCTTCCATTAGACAAATGAACAGAAAATATCATGTCTGACTGACCACCATAAGCTTGAAGCAGCTCTGCCGACTAAATGCACATGAAAAACAATTATAAGATAAGAATAAAAAATAAAGTCATTTTCCATGGATGCCAAAAATTTATTGAATGGTCATTCTTTTTCTAATTTATCAGTATTCATTCATCCAGTTATCTTCCATAAACCTAGCATCCATTCAGTTAGTCAAGCTTATCCATCCATTCATTCTTGTCCATCTAACCATCCTTCCATCCACCCTGCATCCATTCAGTTACTCAAGTTTATCCATCCATTCATTCTTGTCCATCTAACCATCCTTCCATTCCCCCTGCATCCATTTAGCTACTC